AGGATTAAAATATTACAAAAATGATTACTTTATACATAAATATAAAAACCACTGCCTGCGTGCCTTCATCATCTTGGAAAGCTTTTTTCAGTTTATTTAACTTGTTTTTGTATAATGTTGTTAATATTATTAGCAGTATTATTTATTCTGAATATTTATATTTGTTATATTAAAAACAAGCTTAGATTTGTCCACCTGTTGGGCTTTAGACCAGATGGGGCATAGCATCTTTAATTGGATATAACTCAGTTTTTTGACCACACTTTATTATTATTGTTCATTTATTTGTTTGCTGGAAATTAAAACTGATTTTAGAAATTGAATTAAATCTTTGTGCTTAACAAACAGAATTAAAAATGTAGACTAATGGATGTCTTTAGTGAAGTGCATACAACTCCGTTTCCTTATCCACGAAAGAGAGAAAGAGAAAGTAAAGAGGCCGAATAGAGGAGGTTCATTCTTTATCTTCGCACTGCAGATGGTCTGTTTAACTAGTGAAGCATTCAGTATTTCCACTTACAAAGTCCACCATGTAAATGGCAAATGTGCCATGGCGTTACCAACTGACTCTTAACGGAAATTGGAGATAAGACTCTGATTGATTTGATACACCTTATGCTCAAAACACACCCATTACTCATTAAGAGAATAAGCACAACCCTGTTAGACCAGGTGCTCAGGCACAAAACATATTTTTCCGTCCTTAAAATAGCAGAAATGGATTCGGACACTCTTGCATGCTTTTGCATTATGTGCTTTGGACTTTGCGCGTAGACTGTTAAAATAGAGCCCAGAGATTTCAAACTCAAGGATGTGTTATTGCACTAAATACCTGTAGGTTGAACATTAGTGTGACACATAAAAAAAGAAACACAACTTGTAATAAGGAAAAAAGAGCCACTGCAATAATTAACTTTTTGCACTTAAAAACAGAAGTTAGGAGCTAGCTGTGGGACACGGCCTGAACCTCATGACATTTGGCAGCTCCATTAAATGTTGCATCCTAAATGTGCTGTTATAACCTGGAAATCAAATGTTGTCAGGGCTTCGAGAAAATCAATTTGGTACTTTCGACCCACGTTACTTTCGTCCCCGCTCTCCCCTAACCGGACGTTCCATACAATTCTGGATAACAGATTATCTGTTCATATGGTTCACATCAACAGTTACAAATTGACTTTTTATTTCACAATTCGGAGGAAAAACAATAGATTAGCAAGATACAAAATCAAATCTGGGTGAGCTTACATTGGAAAAAAATAGAATTGTGAGAAAACCCAAAAGTTTGTGTTTATTAGGGCGTATTCAATTAATATCTCACAATTATTTTCTCTTAATAGGCTTTTAGTTTATACGCACAAAATACAGAAAATATTATTTCCATTAAAATAGCCATTTTCTGTTTTGGTATTTTTTTAAATGTAGTGATATCATAGCTAAAATGTAAGCATCATACTTCAGTTTTCACATAATTACCATTTCATTATCCTAAAATCATCATTTTATTATTATGATTCCATAATTACATTATTATTATTATTATTATTAGTAGTAGTAGTAGTAGTAGTAGTAGTAGTAGTAGTAGTATCAATGATAAAAATCAATGATTAAGGATTTTCTAGGATTCTATGCCGAGCATAAATTCCAAAAAATAAAACAGCATTTATTTAAAATGTAAATGTTATGTACTATTATTAATCTACTTTTCTGTCCCTTTTGATGCACTCTTGCTGAATATCCCAAATAATTATTTCCCAAAACTAAAGAAAATTCAATTTTAAGGAGTAAATAAAATAAAAAAAATCCTTACAACATATTGAAAGTGCAATACATTTCATAAAACTGAAAACTTCAGATGTGTTTTTTCATTCATTCATTTTCTTGTTGGCTTAGTCCCTTTATTAATCCAGGGTCGCCACTGCGTAATGAACCGCCAACTTATCCAGTACATTTTTACACAGCGGATGCCCTTCCAGCCGCAACCCATTACTAGGAAACATTCTCATACACTCATTCACATACACACTACGGACAATTTAGCTTACCCAATTCACCTGTACCGCATATCTTTGAACTGTGGGGGCAACCGGAGGAAACCCACACGAACGCAGGAAGAACATGCAAACTCCACACAGAAACGCCAACTGAGCCGAGGCTCGAACCAGCGACCTTCTTGCTGTGAGGCGACAGCACTACCTACTGCGCCACTGCATCGCCCTACTTCAGATATGTGTATCTGCTAAAAGTGCTCTACAGTCAGGACGGATGAATTAAACGCTTTCTCATCATCCTCCGCCAAAGCATCTGAGAAGCGCTGAACTTTCTGACAAACTGTTTGACGGAGGGTCTCCTCGGAATGATTAATCCTAATCAGGCTGGCATGTGAGAACGAGCGTGTGCGTCCAACTCTGGCCTAATTCTGCCCAAGCTCTCATGTGATCCGTCAGATGATCGCAGTCGTTCTCCCTCTCCCTCTTTCTCTCTTTTGCCTGTTCTTCACATGTGTTTGCACTCTCGTCCCGGCGTGCCTGAAACGTAAACAGACCCGCAGTGTGGAGCAGCTCTGCCGTTAAGTGAGCAATGCATCATCTCTGCAGAAGTATGCATGACTCGCATTTGGATCGCATTATTTCACTTGTTGAAGTGGAACAGCTCACGTCTGGCCCTCATAATAGAGTCCAGCTGCGGCTGTACGGGCCAATAAGAAACAAGCAGAGCGCTTTTTGTGGAGAGCATGGCTGTCTGATCAGCTTGTTGACTCTAATAAAGTTGTCCCGATGCATTGGTGAAAGGCCGTTCATCTCTCCTCTCATTCTGCCAGTGGCTAGTGACTTGAGAAAAATTACTGGCCATAATTGTTTTTTTTATCATTTGTGGCTCTGTTTGTGCATCATTTCTTTTAAAAATAGAGTGAATCATTTAAAAAGAAAGTCTAATTGCAAGCATTATAAGCAGTGTTGCTTTCAACATTGCTTTCAACTTTAATTAGTTTGTTTATATGGCATGTGTAGCGTCAGAAAGTTCTCAGAAGGTAACATTGTTCCAACTTTTTAAAAAGGTAAATGAAGATGTATGTTATACAATGTGTCTCTAAATGCAAAGCTCCTATATTTAAAAAAAGAAAAGTACCCTTCAAGTTCTGAAAGAGGTCAAGCCTCAGACAGGTATGAAAGTGTAACTCAAAAGTAACATAACACGTTACTTTCCTTAAAAAGTAACGCAACTAGTTTTTTTTAGGGGAGTAACTGAATATTGTAATGCATTACTTTCAAAAGTAACTTTTCCCAACACTGATTATAAGTGCCATTATTTTTTTTTGACTACATTATAACTGGCCATAAATATTTTTTATTACCTTTTGTAAAACTGTATGTGCATCATTTCTGAAAATAGAATAGACCGAAAAAATAAAAATAGACAGAAGAAGCATTATAATTATTATGTATTGTTGATTATTATTTTTATTGATGTTTTTAATCATACAATAACAGTGAGTAACAGTTCAAAATGACCACTTCACCACGTAGTGATGCCACGGAAGGACTACAGAATTCATAAAGTGTTTTTAGGTGTAGCGGCAGTTTGCGACAATGGTGCCAATGACACAAAGAGATGGAATGTGAGCAGAAATATAGAAATACCCTGCTACTTGTAAATGAAGAAGAAATAACGAAACAATGCATTATATTTCCTTCATCATTAAATATATATATATTTCCTTAATAATTAAAAACTTGTTAACAAGCTTTATTATCAATGTCAACTTAAGTGCAATGAGGATTCATTTTGGAAATTAAAACTAAAATAAAATTAGAGACAACTAAAATAAAAGTACAAACATACTGTAAATTAATAAATTAATTCATAAAGTGTGTTTGTTATTTTAAAGTGAAAGAACTAAAACAGCCAATAAATAAGCTTTTTCATTTACATTTTCTTTGTTGATTATATTTAACTTTTTCATTTTAATTATTTGTTATAATATAATAAATTAATATTTAAATAGGCCTAAATAATTATTTATTTGTAGAAAATATCAGAGAAACACAGAGAAGCAGTCTGGTGCATGCTCTAAAAGGGCATGAATATTGGTTTTGATATTGAGATATTGTTACCGTATTTAATAGCAGTATTAAATACGTTATTTATATAATTACTATTACAATTATTTTACATTGCAACTGTAAAAGTACAAAAGTTTTTTTTTTAACCTTTAGCCTTTAATTTGGTTGGCAATTTTCTTTTTAATTGCTACTCTTTTTAAAAAATTTAACAAAACACTTAAACTTGCTTGGTTGCATGTTAAAGCAAACTCACAGCTTTGCAGGAATAGGGAGTTTGTGTGGGTCATTTACTGAAACATTGAACACACTTAAGCGGGGGCACGGTGACTCAGTGGTTAGCACTCTCGCCTCACAGCAATAAGGTCGCTGGTTTGAGTCCCGGTTGAGTCAGTTGGCATTTCTGTGTGGAGTTTGCATGTTCTCCCTGTGATCACATGGGTTTCCTCCAGGTAATCCGGTTTCCCCCACAGTCCAGACATGCGGTATAGGTCAACTGAATAAACTAAATTGGCCATAGTATATGAGTGTGTAATAGAGAGAGTATGAGTGTTTCCCAGTACTAAGTTGCGACTGGAAGGGCTTCCTCTAAATAAAACATATGTAGGAATAGTTGGCGGTTCATTCCGCTGTGGCGACCTCTGATAAATCAGAGACCAAGCCGAAGGAAAATGAATGAATGAATGAAAAAACTTATTATAATCTGTTTTCATGAAAAAGTCACAGTTCTCATCTCATATTACTTAGATATTTAAATAATTAAATATTTGAGAATCACAGTCAGTCATATTGCATTCTCGACTGTTGTTAGAATTAACAGCCAGCTGGTTTCATACACTCTCCAACACAGATTTTTACTCGTATTTGATCAATTGGTGAGTGTTTATTTAAGGCCCTGCCAGTAACCGTGTGTTTGCCCATGTGTGTCTCCTCTTATAGGGTGCTGTTATAACGCCAACCATGGACCACACCATCTCCATGCAGCCTGCGAACATGATGGGACCCCTCACCCAGCAGATGAACCACCTGTCTCTGGGCACCACTGGCACTGTGAGTGTGTGTTCAAGTCTGTTCACCTACTATCCAAACGCTAATTAAAAGTTTGCAAACTGATGTTGGAAAAGAAAGTAAAGCTCTGCCCAGGGGTGAGAATAAAGTACCTGGGAAATAAAATATGGATATGGTGTCAATATCATACTCAATTAAATCCATCTAGCCAAAATCACTCCTGAGCGAAATCCAATTATAAAATCCACATTGATTTGTATTTAAGTCTTTAAAATTAAAAGCAATAAGGAAAGAAAAATTAAATAGTACTTTAAATAAATGCTAGCAATGAGCGGTTTTGTTTGGTGCCTTTCACTTTATATGATACATTCACTTGAAGATTTGTATTTGTTGGCCAGTATATAGTAGATTTTTGGCTTTTAAATATAGAACAAATATACAAAGTTATTGGCCATCAGTATTAGACAACATCTTTATATTTGTGCATCTCTAATAGTTTTTTTTGTGCTTGTTTTATTTTCTCCGCATCGCGAATGCCTCCTTAGGGACTCCCCATTTCTGTGATGGTCACTTTGAACAATAGATTTTGATGGGACATTTTATGAAGAGCGAAAAATAAAAATGATTAACATTGAATAAAATAAATTAAAGTAAATGAGCAGCCACATCACTCAGCCTGCACTATTTTTTTCTGCTAATGGTTAAACAGATTACACTATGGTTTTTGGGTCATGGATCGGACCATTTTTTGGATCAGCACAAAAGGGAGGAGACAAATGTCAATTTCTTTTCAATTATACAAAAACATTACTGCAAAAAAACATTGGTTTTAGCAAACAGAACTTAGAGCCTGTCATTTTAATCAAAATAAAAAATCAGCTGAAAAAATGTATTTAATAAAATAGTATTCAGCTTAAAAATTTTATTTAATACAAAAAAAATTATCTTTGGTACTGCTGCTAATAATGCTAAATAAAGAAATCTTGTACAACAGATCATATTTATGTTCAATTAATGATTCAACAATTCACACATAAACTTTTGTTTGATTGTAGGTGTATCATTTTTGTAAACCTATTCAGTGACATAATTTTGATGGTTGTTTGTCGCCACCCATTGGTTACACAATGTAATTGCAACAACATTCACCAGCGTCAATTCCATTAAACTGTGATTTTAATCTTGAGCATAAACATCAGTGTTTAAGTCTGAACTATAAACTGTTCTCCCAGTACTTCTGTGTTGTTTAATTGTTTTTAACTAACTGAAAAAGTAAAAACTGAATCTATCTCGATCAAATGCAGATTTGTATGCAGAGCTTCGAAGGATTAATAAACACATGCAAATCATTATCATTTATCATTCATGTGGTGCGGGTTTTAACTGAGATCATGATCTTTTAATGTGTAGTTGTGCAGCTTTACACTGTAGGCATTAATGCAGGCTAAACAAACAGTGACAGAAAACATTACCTAAGACACTAACACTAACCCAAGAAAGCATTTAGGTAGGTCCCACCACAACTTTTTCCGTCATCATAATATTTTGGAAGCCGAAATGCTTTCATACGTATGATTTGAATGACACGGAAGGCAATCTCTCTGCAATTGTTATAAATGCTGGATTAACCTACAAGTTAAAAAAGGTTATTAAACTGCAGGTCGGCGAGGCAGCAGCGCAGTACAGTAGGTAGTGCTGTCGCCTCACAGCAAGAAGGTCGCTGGTTCGAACCTCGGCTCAGTTGGCGTTTCTGTGTGGAGTTTGCATGTTCTCCCTGCGTTCATGTGGGTTTCCTCCGGGTGCTCCAGTTTCCCTCACAGTCCAAAGACATGCGGTACAGGTGAATTGGGTAGGCTAAATTGTCCGTAGTGTATAAGTGTGTGTGTGAATATGTGTGTGGATGTTTCGCAGAGATGGGTTGCGGCTGGAAGGGCATCCGCTGCGTAAAGACGTGCTTGATAAGTCGGCCTTTCATTCTGCTGTGGCGACCCCGGATTAATAAAGGGACTACGCCGACAAGAAAGTGAATGTATGAAACTGCGGGTCACGTGTGTTCCGAACTGTGGGTTGTAATGTTCGAATCACGAATCAACTGTGATCTGTTACATTCCTAGTATCTTAGAATAATACACTAAAAGCTCCACTGTTTTGAGCCAATTATTAATTATTTTTGTATGTGAATGTGTTTGCATATATTTTTATTCAGTTTTCTTTATTTATTCAGTTTACCATTATTTCATTATTTATTTATTTTTGTACTGATTCAGTAATATTTTTGAATTTTATGCAGATTTTTTGATGATTTATGCACAATACAATTTATAAAGTAATATTTGCTTTTAGTGGATGTATTATATGTGTAACAAGGAGTAGTCGGAGTACAACAGAGTTGAGGATCCACGTGCACTTTATATAGAGAATAGTCAGACAGGCAATGGTCAAACAGGTACAAACTGGAGTATGAGGGCAATCCAAGAGTGTAGTCAGAAACAGGCCAATGGTCAGGACAGGCGTCAAAGAATTAAAAATGGTAAACAAGACAAGGATCAAAACAAGGCAGAAAAAACAAGGAAAAACTCTTTGTAATGTTCATGGGAACAACAAGACTCAGCAATGTGTATGTCAAAGTGAGGTGTATAAATAGACCTGCTCTTTAGTCCTTAGGAGCATCAGCTTTGTGTGTAATCAGGGAGAGAACTGGAACTGGTGTGTGAGGTGCGTGATGGGATCTGTAGTTCATATCAGTGGCAGATGTGTAGTTCTTCCAGCAATCTGCAACTGCTACAGTAGATCGCTGGTGATCATAAAAATATGAGAGCCCTATTGTAGATTTGCTAGCAATAATAATTAGATTTGCATAATGTAAACCTTAAGCATCCACAGAAAGATAATTGTGCAACTGAAAATGCCTGTGCTCTTCAAAACACTCAGTAAGCGCTTCCTCAATAGTCTGAGCATTTAAAAACACTGTTCACTTTACTTTTTGCATAAACACACACTCAGCATCTTGCTACGCTGCTGCCATATAACAAAAATGAGCTTCCATTGACAAAAACAGAAAAAAATAAGTATAAGTTATGAAGTTTTTTATTTTATTTTATCTGTTTTTAGCTTCTGTACTCTCTAAATCATCAATCATTCTGCATAAATCTGCAGATATTTTTTATTCGATGCAAAAACAACTCAATAAATTAAGATTCTGCAGATTGTGTCTAGCCATAGTAATGACCATTAAATTATTATTTTCAGTGTTATCGTAATCATTATATCTATTATTACATTATCATAAGAATAAAAATCATTGCAGGCCGATAAATGATGTATTATTTTTATGGTTGATACATGCTGCTGGCCATGAGGGTTTTGAACCCTTCTTTGTGCCTCCAATGTCAGTAAACAGAAAACTTCTACTAATTATCTTTACATAAACAGACTTGGCCCGGACATTAAATCGTGTACGGTGTCATTACTGCTCATTATTGCTTCTCAGTTTCCAACAAGAACAAGGCAGGATGCAATGGTGCTCAGCTGTTTTCCCTTCATGACACTGCAATTTCATCTCGGTTTATGTTTGAATAACTTTAAAGGGGACCTATTATGCAAAAGTCACATTTATAATTTTAAATTTTAAATACAGGTGTGTGGCATCAGTCTGAGAATTTAGCCAGCCTCTAATGGTAAAAATCTAATAATTCTCCTTTTATAATTACAATTAATAAAAACAGTCCTCAGAAACAATTTGATTGACATTCTCCCTTTGTGCATGTCATCAGAGTAATAAAGTCCCACCCATTAATGACGATCTCTCCCTCATTAGCCTAAACAAGTGTGAGAAACAGCCGTTCGCCATTCACATCATACCTGCTGAAGATAATGTCAGTGACTAAGAGGCATTGTATATGTGGAGTTTTAGGATGCACAAATGAACACTTTAATCTTCATAGACTACATTCTTCTGAGCCACATCTTTTGACATTTTCAGCTTTTCACAGGGAATGTTAGTCCTATTTTGAATACTGGTACTAAATGTTTGCGCAGTATATATTATCAATTTATTACCTGGTAACTACTTTTTAACCCTTTATAGACACTGATTGAAATATGCATAAAAAACATGAATATTACTATTTACAATATTTTTTTAGCATTTATGTCTTTAAAAAATTAGATTGTAATCAGTGTCAATGAAGTTACCATCTATGAATTTCCCATATACAGTTGAAATCAGAATTATTCCCCCCCTTTTTTTAAATATTTCCCAAATGATGTTTAACAGAGCAATACATTTTCACTTAGTCTTATTTGTTTTATTTCGGCTAGAATAAAATCAGTTTTTAATTTTTTAAAAAAAATTTAAGGTAAAAATTATTAGCCCCTTTAAGCAAAATTTATTTGATAGTCTACAGAACAAACCATCGTTATACAATAACTTGCCTAATTACCCTAACCTGCCTAGTTAACCTACTGTAATTAACCTAGTTAAGCCTTTAAAAATCACTTTAAGCTGTATAGAAGTGTCTTGAAAACTATCTAAAATATTATTTACTGTCCTCATGGCAAAGATAAAATAAATCAGTTATTAGAGATGAGTTATTAAAACTATTATGTTTAGAAATATGTTGAAAAATCTTTTCTCTATTAAACAGATGGTGGTGGAAAAATAAACAGAGGGGCTAATAATTCAGGGGGGTAATAATTCTGACTTTAACTGTATGTTTTTTCACCTGATTATAGATTAACCGACCTAATCTGTGATAAATGTTATTAGTGCAGACTTAGTGCAGACTTAAGTTTGGTCTGTTTTTAAAGTTGACACTTGACTAATTATGCAGATGTTTGTGATATTTTAAATAAAGTTCTAGATTTTTTTAATATTAAATGTATTTTATGAAATATACATGTACATATTTTTAACTCTAAACCTACAAAAATGTGAAAGTTAGGTTTTAAATGTGGTGTTGATAATTGAAAATTTTACTTTTTTTTTCTGATGTCTTTAGGGTGCAGTACCAACAATCCCACTAAATTCAATTACATTACAATTTCTTTCTGAATGTGACCTATCTTTCGACTATAAACAACAAAACTGCGACAATTATTCGTGACCATTTAACATTTATTTGTTTTAAAGAGTTATAACACATTTTTTGTGCAGTGTTTTGAGCTGAAACTACGCACACACACACAGGGGAAATCAGAGACTTATTTTACATCTTGTTAAAAAAAGGGGCATATTAATTAGGTCCCCTTAAATAATAAGTCTCTCTGTTTAAAGTGCTACATTTTGATGTTAAACCTGTCAAAGCTGTACAGTATGTCTGAAATTAGATGACACCACAACAATAAGTGTGATCTCCGCTGTCGTATATATTTTATGAACAGTCCATGCATACAGTAAAACTGCCAGCCAATGTGAATTGGTCCATATTAATGCACAGTCCATGTGATTTTTGTCCTGTGTGTTTTAATTTTGTTTCCAGTACATGACTGCGGCTGCTGCTCCTATGCAGGGGACCTATATTCCCCAGTACACTGCGGTGCCTGCCTCTGCTGTCTCAGTGGAGGTGAGTTTCTGGGTGACTGCAAATCCATTCACTGCTCCAGCTGATTAGACCAGCTCTGCTAATTGAAAACGTAGAGATCACTTGCCTCGGGGCACAAAATCCACCCACAACTTCCTTAGTGCCTTTTTTATTCACAGCTTTACGAGGTCTGGAGCTCAATCTGGCCCAAGAGCTAAACGCAGCTCTTTTTGGTTGAGGTTAAATAGTATTTCAGTTTTGTGTGTGTGTGTGTGTGTGTGTGTGTGTGTGTGTGTGTGTGTGTGTGTGTGTGTGTGTGTGTGTGTGTGTGTGTGTGTGTGTGTGTGTGTGTGCGTGTGTGTGTGTGTGTGTGTGTGTGTCTGTGTGTCTGTGTGTGTGTGTGTGTGTGTGTGTGTGTGTGTGTGTGTGTGTGTGTGTGTGTGTGTGTTAGGACGTCCTGTAATTCAGACATCATGTTGTTGCAGGGAGTGGTGACGGATGCTTCTCCACAGAGCGTTCCAGCCTCGTCACAGGACGCCAGCGGGCAGCAACAGGCTCTGGGTGTGGAAAACACCAGCGATCACGCGCCCACCTACTCTTTTCAGCCCGCCAAGTGAGTTTGACTGACACTGCACACTGATGAGATGAATAGCGGACATGCATATAGGTGTCGTTGCAGGAGTACAACATTTTATAGCATTGCATTTTGGTTGTCGATAGATAAAACATAGCAGTAGATTTATTATGATTATTATTATGAAATGATGATAATGCTATTATTATAAAATAATAATAGAAATGCTCATTGCATGGCTTTCAAAATTCTGTGAAATAAATGTTGTATATTTTAATTCAATAATATTTTTATTATTGGTACTAAACATTTGTCCAGTAGGTTTTCAATTTATTACCTTGTAACCACTTTTTAACCCTTTATATGACACTCATTGAAATACTTATTAAAATAACGTGTTACTATTTACAAGACTTTTCACTTCAGCATTTGTCTTTAAAAATTATATTGTAATCAGTGTGAGTGAAGTGACCATGTATTTGTTTGTTGCCCAATTAAAGGTTAAGCAAAATTAAAATTTCAACTTAATCCGTGATAAATCTTGAATGCTTAAGACTTGAGACTTAAGTTTGGTCTCTTTTTTTAATGATGACACTTGGCAAATTATGCAGGTTTTAAGTGATATTTTAAATAAAGTTATAGAATAATTTTTATTATGAAATTTATGAAATGCATATTTTTAACTCTAAATCTGCAAAAATATGAAAGTTATGTTTCAAATTTAAGGTTAATAATTGAAAATTTGGCTTTTGTTCTGATGTCTTTAGTAGGCAATTACAAAAAGCGCTAGCAAATTGAGAAAAGATCTTCTTCAGTTTGACAGCACATGACCGGCAAATCCTCACAACACGAATACATTTTTAAAAATGTGCTGCATTTCTCACAATGCAAACATTTTACGAAAACGTGCTGCATTTTCTCACAACACAACAGAAATTTTTCAAATTATCCTAAAACATGACCGACTGTGATAATTAGGTTATGGTTATTTAGGCTAATACATACTAAAGGCACAACACATAACAAATAAAAAGCTCACCTTTCAAAGATGACCTACAAGTTCTTTGAACAATAGTCACAGCACAGCAGTGTTTTTGGGTCCACTTGAAACATTTCCGTTGTGTTCTGATGTTTTTGTGTTGTGAGAAAATGCATCGCGTTTTATTCATTGTTTGCGCTGTGAGAAAATGCAGTACATTTTTTTAAAATGTGTTTGGGTTGTGAGGATTTGCAGCACGTGTGCTGTCAAACAGATGAAGATCTTTTTCAATTTGCTGGCATTTTTTTTAATTGTTTAATAAATTGTATATATAAATAAATAAAAATTTATAAAAAAAAATTGTTTTCTTAAATTGCAGCAAGTTAAGCTCTCTCGGCATAAAAGCCACAAAACTCAATCTGTGATAAATGTTGAATGCTTTGTAGTGCAGACTTAAGTTTGGTCTCCTTTTAAAGATAACACTTGGCTGATTATGCAGGGGTTTATATGATTTCTTAAATAAAGTTACAGAATATGTTTTTTAATATGAAATTTTTTGATATACATATTTTTAACTCTGAACCTGCAAAAAATATGATCGTTATGTTTCAATTTTGAGGTTGATAATAAGCTTTTGTTTTGATGTCTTTAGTACGGAGCTTAACGTGCTACAATTTTAGAAAACTGCAATCACAAAAAATGCCAGCAAATTAAGAAAAGATCTTCATCAGTTTGACAGCAAATGTGCTGCAAATTCTTACAGCACAAACCCATTTTTTAAAAAACGCGCTGCATTTTCACACAATGCAAACAATTAATAAACGTACTGCATTTTCTCACAATGCAAACATTTTACAAAAATGTGCTGCATTATTTCACAACACAACAGAAATGATCAAGGAGACCATAAAACATGACGGACCCGGCTATTTAGGTTATGGCTGTTTAGGCTTATAAATGCTAAAGACTAGGGCATCGGAATATTATTTTTATTACTAAAAATAAAGAAACAAAAAGCTCACCTTTCAAAGATCACCTACAACTTCACTGAGCAATAGTTGCAGCACAGGGTTTTTGGGTCTGTTGTGTTTTTTTTTTTTTTTTTTCTTTTTGTGTTGTGAGAAAATGCAGCGTTTCTGTAAATTGTTTGCATTGCGAGAAAATGCAGCGAATTTCATCAATTTGTTTACGTGGTGAGAAACTGCAGTGCATTTTTTATGTGTATACATTGTGAGGATTTTCAGCATGTGATCTTTACTTAATTTGCTGGTGTTTTTTGTAATTGCTTGTGTTTTCTTAAATTGCAGCACATTAAGCTCTCTCGACCACTGTACTTTAGTGTGCAGTACCAACGATTCCACTAAATTCAATTAAATTAACCATTTTTTTTTCTCCCAATGTGGCCTAGAGTATATTTCAACTATGAACAACAAAACTGCAACAATTATTCATGACCATTTAACCTTTCATATGTTTTCATTTATTCCAAAATCTATTTTTATTGAAAACAACTTATTGTCTAGGTTTCTATAGCATGATTCCTGAAATGGTTGCTATTTTATTAAATGATTTCTAAAACATTATCATTATGCGTGTTGCCATGTTATATTGTACATTACCACATCATTGCATTGACTAGAATATATTTTTTATGACAAAGTTGTACTGCAGTACAGGCTAAATCCATGGCATACCTGCAGCCTTCTATTTGGCTCAACAAAAGCAGTAGTTATTGAGCCATCAGGGCTCCAGTAAGTGATCATACAGAAGTGAACCTTGTAAGTTTTACTTTCTGCTTTTGAAACTCTAGATAACCAGAGGAGGAGCGGGGTGCTGAGGTGACTGCGTTGCCTTGAGACTGGGGGACTGCAACGAGGGAACATTGAAGACAGAGCGCAAGAGATAGGAAAACACGTTTGTGTCTACTTTTGCACAAGCATCTAAAAAACAACAACAAACAAACAATTTATTTAACACCTGGCCCACAGCGGAGGACCTTTGGAGAAACTCACAACCAGATGGGAAACCAGATGAGAAATGCAGTCTGGGCTACCCTGATGAAAAAAAAACTTTACCTTCATGAAGTGAACGAATTCAAACAAGTACAAGTTTTCCTATTCTTTTTTTTTTTTTTGAATGTGCAGGTAGGTTTTCAGAAACAGTGGGTTTTTCTATTAGACGAGGAAGCACGTTCTTGTAAAACAATGAGAGAAGGAGCAAAAGAAGTCTTCCTCGGAATTCTAAGCTACTATTACTTTTCTTTTTTTATGAGTTAGATTTTAGTTTTCTAGAGAATATCAATGTTTTTTCATCTTTGTTGCCTTAATTTCGAAAAACATCTAAGACTTTTTTCCTGTTTGAACTGAACAGACTGACGAATGCAGTGAAAATGACCTGACACAGAAAGGAAAATTACTTGTATAAAGCATAGAGAGAGAGAGAGAAAGAGAGAACGGTCTCCTTGAGACGTTTTAAATTATCAGTGGTGACTTTGTGTTTAAATGAGGGGACAAAAAAATATTGTGGTCATGATGATGATGGTGATGATTAAAGAGAGTTGCATTTTTTTAGAAACAGAGGAAAAAAAAAGTTAATCCACTGCATCATGGGAAATGCAGTTTATTGTGTAGTGCAGATCATTTTTAATGGCATTATTGTTTTTATCTGCAATATTTTTTATGAGCTTTAAGGTGTTTTTAGCCTGCTTTGCTTGTTTCATTGCGGAAAAACTAAAAAAAAAAAAAAACTAAAACAGTCAAAAAAAATGGCAGTGCAAATCTACATAGATTAAAAAAGCTTATGGATTAAATCAAGACAAAAAAAGCAAATGTGTGCAAAAAGCAATAGTAATAGGAAATTGTTGACAATTTCTTTAGTCTTTCTTAGCTGTGGATCAAATGCAGCCCATGGATGGCATATTTTATACCAAAGATGAAGAAACCCCCCTCAAGACAGTGGAGTGGATAGATTTTTTTTTTTCTTTCTGATTTTTTTCTATTTGAGATTATTTGTTTTCTTTTGGCGTAGTAGTAGTTTGGTTTCAGAGGTATCTGTTTGACCTTGACGGCCAGATTAGTACCTGACGGTTTAAACTTCCTTCCACTGTTGCAGAGTCTATGTCAATTGTTGAGAGGCAGAAAAGCACCATCGCTGATTGTCATGAGTGTGATTTTTGTCCAGCAGAGGGCGGCAGAGAACGGCTGAACCATCAATCATCCTCCGTCTGCCCGGCTCAATGAACTATACCTCTTTCGCTGCACCTTCTCGGTCGCCGACTCACGGTCGGTCACTACTAAACACGTCCGTTCAGTTCCAGCTTTCTCTCAGAGAAGGCCGTTTTACCGTCATTTCAACTCAACAGGAAGGAAGCACTCACTAGTGTGTGTATTTAAACTCTGTGTACAGATCACTACCTCATCGAAAGCAATTTTACCATGAGGAAACACAGGAGTTTGTGTTGCAGGTCATGAAACACAAGCTTTGCTTCAGGGGCACTGAAAAACGTTAGCAATTAGCAGCATTAGCGTAATATGTTGTTGTTCTGAGCACCTCCGTCCTTCTCTGTTTTTGCAGTCACGTCGATTGAAACGCCTCATATTATATGCAAGGTTTCTTTAATCAACCAGATGCCATAGGAAATCTCTTGTGAACATTACTTGAAAAACAACGGCTCTGTCCCAACACCCCTTTGGGTTGTTTTCGAGTCCACGTTTTGATGACACAATGCTAGTTAGTAATCCATAGTAATTGTAAAAATGACCATTGCATGACTGGGACAGAGCCTCTAAGGTGCCCCGTCATCATGGGATTCGGCGGTTGCTCAGGTGCCTTGACAGCTGGGAAATAGGGTGCAGAATATCTTGTCTAACATTTCGACCTTACATATTTGAAATCTGCTTTCGTTTTATCAAACTACCCATTTCAGAAACTAGCAAACACGTGTAGAAAGAGGAAAAATCTCAAATATTAAATGGATATGTTATCCAAAAAAGATTTTATTGTCATCAAAGTTGTTTCACAATCTGTATGACTTACTGATTCTCAGTGATCTCAGCTATCCATCTTAGTATGTCCACAAGAATACCTGAATGGTCTATTATTTTCAGTTAAAAGTGGAGATGCTTGTATATTGCACATCACGGGACAAAGAGAAAGCTAAATAGAATTATAAAGGAACTAAAAAGTTTAAAAAGAGCTACAAACATGATGAGACCTGTGGTTTAGTAGAGATAATATAAGAGTTCAGTGATTTAAAACAAAAAAGCTGATGTTTATTTAATGCCACCCGCATTTCATTCTGTCTGCATCAACATTCTGAACTTTTACAGAGATATGTTTTTATTTTACAGAGATATGTTTGGTTATTCTATTCTATTATGCACTGTAAAACCCCAAAAATTAAAGTATCTCAAACCATTTGAGGAAATCAATTGCAACAAACCATTAAAGTTTAAAAACTAATCCTAATGAGTAGTGTGAACTTACTCCATTTGAGGAAATGAAGCAATTTGAGCACAGGAAACCCCAATAAATGAAGAGAACTCAAACCAACTGAGTACTGTAAAACTCAATAAGTTAAGCCAACTCAAACCTTTTGAGGAAACCGATTGCAACAAACCATTTGAGTTCAAAAACTAATCTATATGAGTACTGTGAACTTACTCCATTTAAGTTGAAGTAATGAGGTATTTAATTAACTCTTTTTCTTAACACTGAGTTCAAAACTCATTTCAAATGAGTAGAATTAACTTTCAGTCAATTTTGAGTCCACTCTACAATCCTTTCTTTTGATTTGACTGTTGGGTTTTACAGTGTATCATTATGTGCTCTCTACAGCTAACTAGGGGTGTGTGATATTGGCACAAAAATTTTACATTTTTATAACAAAGTTTTGTTCTGTTTTCAGCTGGTACCTTAGTTTAGTCTAATCATTGATAAATTATTTTGTTCAAACTATTTTCAATGGTAAAACAACCCAAAAAAACGTGACCCTAGAACCTAAAACCACAAGTCAAAAGTGTAAATTTGGAAATTGAGATATATGCATCAACTGAATAAATAAATAAACTTTCCATTAATGTATACTTGGTTTGATAAGGACAATATATGACAGAGACACAACTATTTGAATATATGTAATCTGTGAGTTTAAAAAATGAATAATAAATACAGAGAGAATTGCCTTTAAATTTTTCTAAAGTGCTTAGCAATGCACGTTACTAATCAAAAATTGACTTTTGATATATTTACTATAAATATTAACTAAATTTTGCAGTAGTGTGTGTGTGAGTGAATGAGTGAGTATGGATGTTTCCCAGTACTGCGTTGCAGCTGGAAGGGCATCCGCTGCGAAAAACGTATGCTAGATAATTTGGCGGTTCATTCCGCTGTGGCGGACCCCTAGTGAATAAAGGAACTAAGTCGAAGGAAAATGAATAAACATTTGAAAGACACAGCTATTTGAATATCTGCAACATGTGAGTTAAAAAATACAGAGAAAATTGCCTTTAAATATGTCTAAAGTGCTTTGCAATGCACATTTCTCATCAAAAATTGAGTTTTGGTATATTTGCAGTAGGAAATTTACTAAATACCTTCAAGGTACACAATCTTTGTTTATATTGCAGTGGTATTTGGAATAAAACAAGCAAAAACATTGGACTTTTGCCAAAAAAATATAGCCCTATAACATAAGATGGTATTGTGGACAAATGTAAGTCACTCAGTATTAACTTTTTTGTTGGACTGAGTATAAAATCAATATCACATTTGCAATCATGCTCACATGCTGGAAATGGCACTCTTGTTTGTGGGATATTATTGAACTATATAATGTCTTATATAAAACAAAAACCCATACAGGGCGTTCATAACTTGAATTATAGGCTCATTCTTCATTCTAATAGTATTAATCAGGCAGTGAACGCTTTTGGACTTTATTAGACTTTGTTTTTTTTTTGTTTTACGCAAAGGGAGTGACATTCTCGATAATGTCAGCTCGCAAATCGTTAAAACAACAATTATTATATTATTGCAGACCATGAATTTCACACACACCCCTAGAAACAACCGACATATCAATATGCTGGTTTATTTCTTCACAATAAGACAGGAAATTAAAAGAATTGAGAATGTAAAAATGCGACAGGATGACTGACAGGATGAAAAATTAAAGTCAGAACATTATTTTCTGGTGGGTGTTCATCTTATTTCACGTTTAGCAGAGAGAAAGTCATACAGGTTTGGAATGACAAAATTGTTCACATTTATTTTGGATGAACTATCCATTTAATACAGCAACAAGGCTGCTGTCCTTTATTTACCTTGAATTACGCGTGATTTGAACGCGGCCAGATCTATTAAGACGTCAGTAAAGAGTTTCCACGCACATGCTGAATTATAGACTGGAATCATGGCCGCTCATAAATAGGTTTTACAGTCGGGGTAATTAGAGTTGTCGAGGTGCTCTGGGAATACATTATTCTGTCATTAAAGAGAGACTTTTGAAAAGATCTTTTGAAAGTCATCATAAACGCTTCAGTCTGTTTTTATTCTCTACGTAATGAGCTCAATTAGCCACTAGGGGACAGTATTAAAGCAAAGTTGGTGTACTTTATCCTCTGTGATGACCATAACAGTGAGCTGAGAAAAGTTCACACTGTGGATTAAAGCGATGCCAAGTTCATGATGACTGCTACAATAAGGACATGAAGCTAGCTTTTCATTTTCAAAACAAAAAGATACAAAATAAGGAAAAAAAAGTCACTGTGTTTTTGTGTTTATCCACTGTCTTTTTGGAGAGTTCTTTTTATCATGTGCTCGCTGCTATCAAGCATTCAGTATTTAAGTGGTCTGGGCCTTGGGGACGGAAAGGAAGTCTCTTCATGAAAGAGTGAATAATTGTGTGGGATGAAGCTGAAGGTTTGAATGGAGTTTTCTCATCCCAGCTGTAATTTAGTAAGCTAAAAACACTTTTTTCCATCCACTCGAAGGCATAGAAACCCTTTGCTCCATTCATTGGCTGTGAGGTCCAAGCCATGCATTATATCTGTGCATCTGATTGGCTGTCGCAGTTGGGGTCATTGAATGGCCGATGTTCATTCGCTGGATGGACTGTTATGAAACAGCGCAACTACGTTCAACCAAATTCAACACAAACAGCAAAACCTCAATTAGACACTAACGTACTGGCAGATGAAATAGAGAAATATTTATGGAAATGTTTTTTTTTTGTACAGGTGTTGTTGAACTATGAACGCGGAACAGTTTTACGATGCTAACGACGATTTTTAATTTCGTTTTGAGTTGCTTCACTTTCTTGCCTCCCATGTGCTCGAGCTGTGATCCTGAGAGTGTCTGTAGACCAGTGGATGTTAGGTTTAAACTTGTTCATTTTTTATTTTTGTTTCTTTTGATGAAGCTTTCAATAAAAAAAATCTACAAAATCACACTGTTTTGACTTGTGCTCCAGCTTTTCTTTGTGAGGTTTCATTTACTGTTCATTTTCCTCACCGTTCAGGGATGACTTTTGTATTCAGTACAGCATTAAATACGATTTTATTAGCTAAAATTGTGCTCGTTCGTCACTTTGAGAGACAAGAAATAGATAACGTCTATAACATGATAATTACGCGTCAATAACGTTACATTTATGTACAGTAATACTGTACATTTGACTGCAGTTTCTTTGGTAAAATGAACAATTCGAAGAAGTAGGACGTCAACAGCTTTTGTTCCTTTTCACAAGATAATTGACGAATCGAGGATTGTTTTCATGCAGTTACTAATAAGTACCATAAAACATCTTGATGTCAATAATTTGTGATGAAATATCAAATCTATCTACAGCAGAGAAAATAAAAATTGAACACGTCATGTTTTTTTTTTCCTGGGAATCATTTCTAAAGGAGCTGCTAACATGGAATTGAACCAGATTGTGGTAAAAACCCAAATAATACAAACATAAAAATAAAACAAACCAAAAATGAGTTATATGTACTGTAATAACGATCAAATGACACAAGGAAAAAGTACTGATCTACTGAAACGTATTTAGTAATTTATATAAAAGGCTTTTGGTGAGGGCAGCTTAAAGATGACTCTCAAATAGAGAATGAAGTCACATGAATTGCTCAGATGTGAGTTTTTCACAGGCTTTAACAGTAACAGTTTACCAAATGTAAAAATATTGATGGTTCTGTGTGTCTCGTCTGTCAAATCTGATCTTTTCGTTGTCCTGCTGAAATGTCCACCCTGGTTTCATCTTCATCATCCTGCTAATGTAGATGTTGGACTGAAGCAGCTTATATTCCTTTACAATAAACAGGGTTGCTGAATAAATTTTAAGAGATTTCAGCTGCTATCTAGGCTTTCACTGCCTTTCTACACCTCCCTTCATGTGTTCAATACCTGTACCCTGTGTCGTTTCCTTTTATTATGCATAACTTAATTTGTAAACTAATTAAGTAACTAATTAACTAATTGGTTTTGTTTTCTTAGCATATATGGATTTCTTTGGTTTTTACCAACGTCTGGTGAACATTTCAAGTCATCGACGCCTTTCGAAATATGTTTTCTGAGAAAAATGGTGACGTGTTCAATACTTACTTATTTTCACCTTCTGTATCTCCATATGGATAACTTTTCTGACTTGGTCAGTTTTTGTCTGTTGTACTTGTTATGCAGAATATTTGAGTTTGTTGAAGTCCGCTCCCACAAAAGAGATAAAAACAAAGTAAAATCAAGGTAAAACTGCATGGTAGCAGTATACTTTTCTGTTACATTTGCTTGTGAAAACTATTGGTTGGGTTTAAATCAGTGACTCACTTAGTTATCTGACGAGCTCTGCTTAAATAATTTAAAAAAACTTTCAGGGAAAAATTTGTGTCACTTTGTTATATACAGATATATACAGTACTGCAATTTGTCACCCGCAGTCACGCGTTTTACTGCAGCCGTAAAGGCCGCCTTTTCATAAAAAAATAAAAATCTGTGCTTTACGCGATAGCCACCAGGTGGCGCAAGGAACAACTGCTTTTCCATTGACTTAGTTGTCATGCGTGAACAGCATTTGTGTGAGAGAGCACTTGATTCAGCTCTCTTGATGCCTCACGGCTGGGTTTCTTTATTTTAGAGATAATTTATACATAATTGTATTCACATATGAATACAACAGAACTACATAAAACTTTACAATGTACGTGTACACTTTTAAGGGGCTTAACACAATTTCACAGATCTAGATAAAATAGTTTAAGTGATATTGACATTTTTAAAAGATACACAAATACTGGATACAATAAAAACATTAAATAAACCAAAATAAAACAAACAAAAGCTATGACGATTTAGGAATATACAGTATGATATATTTTGAACTTTAATTTTACAAAGGCCTATCTGAAAAAAAGATTTGAGATATTTTCTAAAAACAGTAAACGGAGTTTATTATAATATATAAACACATTCACAAAACTATATTTTTGTAATTATTTAAAGGTATTAAAGATTTTAAAAAAGAAGAAAAAACACTATGAAACTTGGTTATTGTTTAGCTTGAACAGTCTAAATTAAATTTCTAAAATAAAATATTCCAAATATATGCATTAGAGTGACATTAAATAATGCACACTAAACACAACTGAAAATGTCCTGCAGTAGATTACATCGAGTAATGTAGTGTTTAACCATGTTTGAATGTTAAGTTTTACTCAACAACAAAAAAGCGACAGTTTGAGGAGCTGTAAATATACAAACATCCACACAGAAGCTCGTAGTGTCTTGGAGTGGCATTAGACTTGACAGCAGCACAATGAGCATACAGTGTGGTGTCAGAGTAGAAGAGGACAGAGCAATGGAAAGAATGAGAGCGTTCTGACCCCTGGCCTTCTCTAACTCTCCTCCACCCACTGATCGATAGAGAGACTGTTCACACACACAACACTGTGTTTCAGCCTCATGTTGACCTTTAACCCTCGCCATCCTCCTCACGCCTTACATTACTCATTTTCATAGCTCGCTTTTGCTGCGGCTGCAGGAGAAGATGAGGAAAGAAGATTGTATGCATGTACATTGTGCAAAGATTGCAAAGAAAATGAACCTTATTTTAACTGCTTCTAATAGCTCAGATTGCTTAAATTAAGTTGAGACATGGTTAACATATTTTAAAATAAAAGTAACCAAATGTTTATTGGTCTTATCTTTTTTACAGTGTACATATGCAAGTTTTTAGATTGCTGGATCCATTTTGTGACTGTTTTAGGGAAGGCTGGGTTTAGGGAAGGCGATGGGCAGGCCAAGCGGTGCGTTTGAAAACATTATCGATTGGGTTTAGGGAAGGGGTGGGTGGGTAAATCAGTGCTTTTTAAAACACTTGGTTGGGTTTAGGGAAGGCATGGGTGGGTCAATCGGTGCGTTTGAAAACACTATCGGTTGGGTTTAGAGAAGGGGGGGGGGTCAATCGGTGCATTTGAAAACACTATTGGTTGGGTTTAGAGAAGGGGTGGGTGGGTCAATTGGTGCTTTTAAAAACACTGCCGGTTGGGTTTAGGGAAGGGGGTTATTGGGCCAATTATTGCTTTTAAAAACACTCAGTTGAGTTTAGGAAAGTGGGTGATAAGGTAAAGTTGTGCTTTTAAAAACACTATCGGTTGGGTATTAGAGAAGGGAGTGGGTGGGGGTATTGGTCGGTCAGTCAGTCAGTTAGGGATGCAATGGTTATAGATTTTAGTTGTAGGATTATAGTCTGAGGAATAATCATGGTCGTGGTTATCATGATTGTTATGCATTCATTAATTTCAAAACACTACTAGATCAGAAAATATAAAAAAAAAACTTTAAAATAAGTGATTTTCTTTTTACATTTAAACATAAGTAATAATTTTACTCTAAAAATAAATGACAGAACAATGATTGAATAAATAAAAGTAAGAATAAATAAAAATGGTATTTGTCTGATGCAGGGCTTAAAATTAACTTTCAGTAGTTATCTAAATAGAATAATAATAAATAGGAAACTTAATAAATAACGGACAAAAGAAATGAAGAAAAGTCTCATTTTATCTCTTTAAAAGTTTTGGTTTCGGTTTGTGCCATTTTAAATGGACAGTCTCGTTATACGCCGACATTTTTCTGTGTTTGTGGAAAAAAGCAGGCTGCCCAATACATGAGCAGGGCAGAGCAGCATTCTCGCGATAAGAACCTGTGCAATTGTTCTTTGTCATGAGCCACAGTTTCAATATAAACCTAAAGTAAAGGTGAGCTTCTTTGGCGATGATGTATACAGTGTTAGATTTTACATTTAGAGGCAATTTGCGCTGAACACGCAGTGAATGTAACGCATCGAGATTCAGCCCATTAAACAGCGTAAACCCTCCAAGCCTGTCAGCGCTATCTCCGAAATCTCTTGACTGATCTCGGCTGGCGGAACAACATTTATCTCATGATCGCTCTTGTCGGTGCCATTATTGTAGGTTTGCAACCCTGTGTACTTTTGCAAACCTGCGTCTTCCTCTAACCTCAGCCACTTGCATTTTCTGTGGTCAAAAAAGCTCCCTGTCATCTTAACTAGGTCCGCCTGGAAAGTATGAGCATGTTGCATCGTGTGCACGTTCCTCCACTGGAAATAACAAATTTGCCTTAGTTAATAGCCCCAGTCATAATTAATCCAGTGTGTGTGATTATCAGTCTCTGTGTACAAGCTCGGAACCTCAAACTAGAGCACAGTTGGCATAACTTTGTTTAGTTGCTGCAGTTTTGTTCCATGCAGAAAATTGGTGGTGAGAAGCCTTTACGATTCATTAACTATGACAAATTAAAGCACGGTTAATAGTGAAACTGGTTAATCGTTGCATCCTTACAGTCAGTCAGTCAGTCAACAGCAGCCTCTGGTGAATTTACATGAGAAGAGCAGGTGCGAATGGCACTCGCGAGAGAAATTTAAAATCTGAAAAGTCGTACACAGCAGACTCTGGTGGATTCCAAAAGAAAAAAAAAATGCTAAAACGCGTACCTCCTGGGACTTATTTCACGCTGTCCAGAAATGTATGCAGGGGTACGTGTCTATAAAGAACCTGGGTTGACTTTACATTGTGGTCACAGCTGCTTTCTGTAAACATATATATTTTTTACTTATATTTTTTCAAATTCTTAACATTGGGTAACTACAGTAATCAACTTTTTAAAAAAAAATCCTTTTTTTTACTAAGAGCTTAATGCACTGCAATTTAAGAAAGCACATGCAATTACAAAAAACACCAGCAAATAAAGAAACAATCTTCATCAATTTGACAGCGCACGTGTTGCAAATAACACAAACAACTGAAGAAAGGCACAGCAAACTGGTCACAAGCATGTTTCTTCAGTTGTTTGTGTTGTGTTGAAAAGAAAGACATTAAATCCAATTAAATTAGAAATTTTATTTTAGCAAAAATCTGTCAAATGTCAATTCTA